TCCCTTCCTTCCCTCTCTCCTCTCTCCTTCCTTCCCTTTTTTTTCTTCTCTTCTTCCTTCCCTCCCTCCCTCCATTCCCTTCCACCCTTTTTCTCTTCCTTCCCCCCCCCCCCCTTCCTTTCTTCCTCCCTTCTCTTTTTACTTCCTCCTTTCCTCCTGGGTGATGTTTAGCTGAGAGAAGAGTAGGTTGAGAGGGAACAGGGAGAATTCTAAGATCTCAAAGAGTGTCCCTCTCATTGAGGAGAAGGAGGGGGAAAACTGACTTTCTGCCCCTCTAGAAACCAGGGCACAAGGGAGCAATAGCAGGGAAAGACATTCAACTGAAAAGATTATGAAAGGCTTCCTGCAAGGGATTAATATTTTACACTACATTTCTCAAATCTGGGGAGAGTTTAGGCTAGGATGCACTGGAAAATTGCTGGATGTTTTGCAAGGATTTCTCACTCTGAATTGTTTAACTCCACCATCTTAAATTATTTGGCTAGGATCTTATATGTACGTTATATGTACGTTTGTGTTCACTTATATAGGCTACACCAGTATACAGATCATGCAGAGTAAAAGGAAACTGGCTCTGCCTCCAAGCTGTCATTTTGCAATCTTCCCCATGAGACTCATTTCTCCTTGTCTCCAACTGGTGGATCCTTGGTTTCTAGTTTTAAAAAAGTAGACCCCATAAGCTTGATGTCCATTCACATCGACTGCAAAATGCAACTAATGCTTTGTTGTAGGTGTTCATGGCAGTGACGACTGGGGATGCATGTCTGTCATTACTGATCTTCTCGTTGGTAAGCCCTTGAGAAAAGGCCAAGGCATCTGAGGTTGCCCAACACCTCATTTTAAAAAGGCCACTGGATTAAAGCAAAAAGGCAAAAGCGTTCATCATTACTGCACACGTAAAGATCAAAGTAAACATTATGTGATAACTAAGGTCAGGTGTTGCCAAGCAAAGCGAAAGGAAAGCTAGCAATGCAAACAATGTCTCCAGCAGCATTAGCCGGAGTCCATTTACTTTTGGTACATTGTGTTTTTCATTCAAGGCAGCAGCAACGTGACCTTCAAGATATCATAACGGCAGACAGTGGGTTTTCGCCCTTCTGGAAATCATACCTTTTCGGTCCAGAGCACAACAACAGAGAAGGCTTTGCCTATTTTCAAACATCAGAATCCTATGAATTATCATAGAGATTTAAAATTCAATTTGCTTCATCTATAAAAATGTAATCTATGGCAAGCAACCTCTGAGGATGCTTGCCATAGATGCAGGCGAAACGTCAGGAGAGAATGCTTCTAGAACATGGCCATATAGCCCGAAAAAACTACAACAACCCAGTGATTCCAGCCATGAAAGCCTTCAACAATGTAATGTTTGTTTGTGGGATTAACATAACTCAAAAACCACTGGATGAATTGACACCAAATTTGGACACAATACACCTATCAGGCCAACAAGTGACCATCACTCATAAAACACTGAAAAACACACCAGAAGGGACTTAAAAAGCAAAAAAAACCCCATTACAACACATGCACAAATCCACATATATACACAGACTGGGCAGGGGATGGCTAGTTTAGAATAATGTGATATTTGAGATAAAAGCACAGCAGAAATCCAGCATAACTTGACTTCCAGAACAACATAGATGACATGGATTTTAATGATAATTTCTAGTTTGCTCCTTTCTATCCTTTTTGAACTTCTACCTGCCTGCTCCAGTCAGGAACTGAGTTGTTGGACAGCGTTATCACAGCATATGCATCCTTTTAGACCCAAGTTGTCCTCCTCTTGCAACCAAAAGTGGTACCATGAATGTCTGGATGTCACCTTTTTTCCACAATCACATCCTGTACTCCTTATAATAGCTCCCTGTTGGTATTCTCAACAGCTGTCTAGCCCAGTGCTACTCAAAATGGTGGCCCATGGATCAGTGCCAGAAGGAAGCCTGAGTGCCAATAGGAGGACTCTTCCACAGCAGTACAATATATATATGCAGGAAATCAATGCCAATCCATAAGCCATCAGCTGCTGGTCTCCACAGCTTCCAGTAAAGACCTAGACAATTATAGTAATTGAGAACAAAATGGTACCAGGCCAAAGGGAGAGAGGTGCTGATCCACCACATCAGATAGCTTCAGAAGAACTGTTCTATCCCACATAAATGTAATAAATGCAGCTTTTTAAAAATGAAAATAGCATTTTTTCACATGTAGTTAATTTGTGTATTTTGCTGCCTTTCTCCCAAAGTGGTACCAAACTCTATAACCATAGTGGAAAATAGCTGTCTCATGTTTCACATTTAAGAAATCATATCCTTTTGTAGAGTCATATACAGTAGATTCTCAGTTGACCGGCACCCAGGAGGATTGGTAGATGCCAGATAAATGCAGAATCTGGTTGATTGGGAGTTGCTATTAAAAATAAGCCTAACTAATAGTGCTATAAGGGGCCGCGGTGGCACAGCGGGTTAAACCGCTAAGCTGCAGAACTTGCTGTCTTCATAGATCTGTCAGCGGCTTATGATACTGTGAACCACTGCCTCCTCCTGAGAAAAATGTGTATCACAAAGGACTACCATCTCACCCACCTCATAGGAAACCTGCTACAAAACAGGAGCTTTTTGATGAGTTCCAGGGCCAGAGAAGCAGATGGTGGAAACAGAAGAACGGCCTGCCTCAGGGGAGCGTGCTTGCTCCATCCATGTTCAACATCTACACAAATGACCAGCCACTGCCAGAAGGGACAGAGAGTTTCATCTATGCTGATGATCATGCCATTACTGCTCAAGCAGGGAGCTTTGAGATGGTAGAACAGAAGTTCTCCGAAGCTCTAGGTGCCCTTACTGCCTACTACAAGGAAAACCAGATGGTACAGGGTGAGCCCCCTGATGTTAGCCACAGCTTCTGCCAACCTAGCAGTTTGAAAATATACAAATGTGGCGGGAAGGCAACAGTGCTCCATGCAGTCATGACCTTGGAGGCAACTACGGACAATGGCGGCTCATCAGCTTAGAAATGGAGATGAGCACCCCCCCCCCCCCCCCAGAGTTGGACTCAACTAGACTTAATGTCAAGGGGAAACCTTTACCTTTTTAATAATACTGTATGCCATACAGGACCTGCACAACATACGTCCCGTGAGCCACGCAGCCCACCACGGAATTTGGGATGGCCTGTAAGATGCCTCATAGATGTCCCCATCAAGTCCCAAGGCATCTAGACATCCCTCCAACCACTTCTTGAAAATGGAGGGTGGCATAGTTTAAGGCAGTTGTAGTGAATCTATGGCACGCATGCCACAGGGGGCACCCAGAGTCCTTTCAGTGGGCATATGTGCTCCAGAAGAATGGCTTCTGACAAAAGAAGGGACATAGGCGAGGCTCTAGCTGGAAGTTCTCCTTCTCCTGCGAGAGAGAAGGGCCAATGAGGATGGTAGAGACAAGAGAGAGAAGGAGGAAGGGGCTGGGAATGCGTGAGCACAGCTGGGAGGTGGCTCGGGCTAGGAAGGATTACGAGAGGGCCAGTATTTGGCAAGGGAGAGAGTGCAGGGCAGTGCAGCAGCAACAACAACAAAACTTTATATACCTCTCTATCTCCCCAAGGGGACTCAGCGTGCCCCGTGGGGRTGGCAGCAGGGCTGGAGGCTCTCCTAGCTTGTGCTGGCCATGGGGATGGGCCCCGGGGGGGGGGGGTCACTATGGTGCTGGTCACCCTCCAGTGCTTGCCCACCCCCAGCACCACCACCTCCTCAGCCAGCACCAGCAAGGTAAGCTCCCGGCCTTACTGCCTCCCCCATGGGGCCTGCGGCACTACCCAGCACCTCCCCCTCGACAAACACTGGCCTTTTCATCTTACCTCCCCAACTATGCATCCCTCTGCCTCCTTGGCTTCTTCCCTAGGGCCACCCCACTCCCAAAAAACTGTAGCCTTGCCCCCCTAAAGGCCCCAGGATCCATCTGATCTGGAAAGCTAAGCAGGGTCAACCCCGGGTGGGAGGCCACCAATCTATCCCAGGGAGGTGCTGTTTCAAATGAGGGAGCTGGACAAACACTGGCCTAAGAAAGTACCCTGAAGTACACGGGGGTCCCCAGGAGTTGACTTGTAGCTTTACTTTGCTTGGATCATTTTATGCTTGTGAGCAGCAATTTTCGGCTTTGAGTTATATCAAATCTGACAGCAGAAACAGACTAGCACATATGTTGTTGAAGGCTTTCATGGTCAGAATCATTGGGTTGCTATGAATTTTCTGGGCTGTATGGCCATGTTCCAGAAGCATTCTTTCCTGACATTTCAGCCACATCTATGGCAGGCATCCTCAGAGGTTGTGAAGCCTGTTGGAAACTAGGAAAATAGGGTTTATATATCTGTAGAATAATGTTCAGGGTGGGAGAAAGAACTCTTGTCTGGAGATAGGTGTGAATGTTTCAATTGACCACCTTAATTAGCATTCAATGGTCGTGCAGCTTCAAAGCCTGCCTGGTTGCTACCTGAGGGAATTCTTTCTTTGGAAGTGTTAGCTGGCCCTGATTGATTCTTGTCTGGAATTCCCCTGCTTTTTGAGTGTTGCTCATTATTTACTAGCAGATGACCTGAATGCTGCTACATGTGTTGCTCTCAAACTTACAAAGTATGAGCCAAGGTTAGACAAATTAGCAAAAAAAAATCGCATTAATTATTCAAAAGCTTGGAAAATATTACTTAAAAATATACCTATTCTGACTTACATTCAAATTCAACTTAAGAACACACCTACAGAACCTGTCTTGGCTGTGGTTGTAATTCCAATGACCAACAGGTGGCAGTCAACTAAACCTGCTTTCCTCCCTCTTTGAGCAGAGGAAGCCACCCAAATACAGCTCTTAAACTACCATTCCCATCATGCCCATCGCCCAACCAACTCGGGTGTCCAATCGCAGAGAAGAAGAACCTTCCGAACGTAGCGTTTTCCCGCCCATCTACGCGACGCTAGCCAATCACTAGCTGCGCTCGGGAGGGGGCGGTGCCCGAGCGGAACCAATAGGAGGCGAGGAGCCGTTTGATGCTGGCGCGAAATCGATGGAGGTTTTGAATCGGGCGCTGGCGACCTGGGTGAGTTTTCATCTCAGGCATCTCTCTTTGCCTGCTGGGATGGGAGGCCAGTGGGACACCCAGCTGCTCAATTAGCAAAATATATTAACTATAGATAGATAGATAGAGCTGTATTCAAGTTTAATGCAGTTTGACACCGCTTTAACTGCTATGGCTCAATGCAGCGGGGCCCTGGGAGTTGTAGTTTTACAGGGCCCTCAGCCTTCCCTGCCAAAGAAGGCTGCGACTGCACCAAACTACAACTCTTTGGCAGAGAAGGCGAAAGGCCTTGTAAAACTACAACTTTCCTGACTATTCAGTTAAAGTGATGTCAAAGTGTATTGTTATTATTTAATTTATTTATTTACAACATTTCTACCCCGCCCTTCTCAACCCCCCCCCCGGGGGGGGGGACTCAGAGCGGCTAACCCGGGCAACAATTCAATTTCATAATATAAACAATATAAAAACCATAAATATACAATAGAATTGAAAACAATAACATTAATTATAAAGTCATATAGCTTTTTCCATTATTATAACAATCATATGGTCCAGTTCAATGTCCAAAGTGCCGTTGTGCCTGCTAGTCAAAAGTCTGGTTCCAAAACCACGATTTCAGTTTTTTCCTAAAAGAAAGGAGGGAGGATGCCGATCAAATCTCGCTGGGGAGCGAATTCCACAAGCGGGGGGTCACCACTGAGAAGGCCCTGTCCCTTGTCCCAACCAGATGCACTTGCGAGGCTGGTGGGACCGAGAGCAGGATCTCCCGGGTGGATCTTAAACTACAAGGCGGAACATAAAGGGAGATACATTCGGAGAAGTATGCTTGGCTGGAGCCGTATAGGGCTTTATAGGCCAAGACCAGCAGTTTGAATTGTGCTTGGAAATGAACTGGCAGCCAGCGGAGTTGACATAGCAGGGGGGGTAAAGTGCTCCCTGTATGGAGCTTCAGTGAGCAATCTGGCTGCCACCCGTTGGACTAGTTGAAGTTTCCAAACAGTCTTCAAAGGCTACCCTACGTAGAGTGCGTTGCAGTAATAATAATAATAAATCTTTATTTATACTCCACTAACATCTCCCGGAGGACTTGGTGCTGCTTACAAGAGGCCGAGGCCCAACACATCAGTAAAACAACAACATAACAAATACAACAATAAATAAACTCATAAAACAAAGCAATAAACGTTAAAACAATAGCAATAAACATTAGACAATAACACCACGACGCAGTAGTATTAATTCTTACAGTGCAAATGCATCCTTAAGTCTTTCATTTTTAAAAGAAGTCTATTCCAAAAAGTGGAGTGTTGGAAGCAGAGTGGGCCAGTTTCACTTATTTACTACCTGGCTACTTAGCTGGCAAAGCTACCTTTTTAGCTCAGTACAGATCCAAAGCCTTTTCTGACCTTTTCAGACGCTGAAATTATTCTGATGTCTACATGGCCTGGATCTATAAGAGACACTGGTTAAGACTGACTGGTTTTTAATTTTGCATGAGTTGTAAATAGCATAATATATCCAAGAGTTTTAAGTGATCACTTGTGTTGTATTACTAGCTTGGAGGACCCAGCATTTCCTGGCTTATGTGAAAAAGTCAATTTTAAAATTGTACAAAATGCATAAGATTGTGGGTGAACTACAACTCACATCATACCAGGTTAACCCCCTGAAACGCCATCAGTACTTATGTTGGGCAAGTTTGCTCTAGATACATCATCAATGGGGTCCAGTGTGCTCTCTGGCTGTAGGGTGAACTACAACTACTACGGTGAATCAGTCCCCTCAAACCCCTCCAGTAGCTTGAGTTGGTCATGGGGTTTTGTGTGCCAAGTTTGGTCCAGGTTCATCATCGGCGGACATCGCCGTTTCTCTGGTTGTGGGTGAACTACAACTCCCAGAAAGGGAGGTCAGATTCCCCCCAAGCCCCTCCAGTAATCAAACTTCAGCATATTAGGTATGTGTGCCAAGTTTGGTCCAGATCCATCAGTGTTTGGGTTCACGGTGCTCTCTGGATGTAGGTGAACTACAATTCCCTCAAATCAAGGCACATTTCCCCCAAAGATCTCCAGTATTTTTTGCTGGCCGTAGGGGCTCTGTGTGCCAAGTTTGGTCCAATTCCTTCCTTGCAGTTCAGAGTGCTTATTTAATGCAGGTGAACTATAAATCCCAGTTTCTATAACTCAAAACGTCCAGGCCAATTCCCCTCAAAACCCACCAGTATTCAAATTTTAGCATATTAGGTATTCATGCCAAGTTTGGTCCAGATCCATCATTGTTTGCGTTCATAGTGCGCCCTGGATGTAGGTGAACTACAACTCCTATAAAACCCTGCAGTATGTTTTGTTGGTCATGGAGGTTGTGTGCCAAGTTAGTTCCAGGTTCATCATTGGTGGAGTTGAGAGTGCTCATAGACTGCAGGTGAACTATACATTCCAGTAACTACATCTATAAATCATGATGAATTATCCCTAAATCTCTCAATTATGTTCAGTTGCTGATCAGTTCCTCTGTTTGCTTTGTGCCATAGAAAAGAATAGGAAAGTGATGTGGGAGGGGCCATGCAAATTCCACATCAATGGAGAGAGTAAGATGTCTGTGGTGGAGGAAACACATAAAATCGAGGAGGAAATTGTCTCCGTATTAAAGCCTTCACTTGGACGGTGGTCAGTATGATGTTTGTGGAGGACATTGGCAGGGCTTGTACATGTTCAAGGCGCTCACTATAACCTGCAGTGTCTTTGGAAGGAAGGCCATTGGTGGCTTCTCACAGATGGGGATCATAGCTGTTTGTGGAAGTGGGAGTCTGTCTCTGTAAGTGGACACCCCAACCACACACATACATACATATTTTCCACTTTTATTATGTGTATAGATATTCCTAACTTCTTGATGGTTTGGCAGTGGAATACGCTACTGTCTCCGAGTCTAGCAGAGTCTCCTCTGAAGGCTTTTAAGCAGGATGACCATCTGTCGGGAGTGCTTTGGTTGTGTCTTCCTGTATGGGCCAAAGGGGCTTGGGCTGGATGTCACTTCTGGTCTCTTCTAGGGTTTTGAAATGGTTCTTTATTTATCAGGGCTGCTTTCGTTCTGACCTTCCTTGAGCAGTCTTTTGTTTTTGTTTTCAGAATAATGGCCCAAGCGAAAGAAGATGATGAACTCACCATTCTTGACAAAGAATTAAAGGAATTCTGGACGAAATTTGAAACACCTTTTTGCCGGGAATCCCTCGACCGGACTTTGGGACTAAGGAATAAGTACCTCGAATGCATAGCCTCACTAAACGGTAAAGTTGCATATGATTTATTATGTTTTATTGTTGATTAAAAAGGAGGAAGGGGTGTGGAGGGGAAAGCATGGGAGAACCTATAAGACAAAGTGGGTTTTCTTTTTGAATGACCTTCTGTGGATATAAACCTACATCCTCAGATGCAATACTGAGCAGTATTAAGGCAAATGCTATAAAAATATTTGGAGATTGCTTCCAAAAGGTACGAAATCTCCCAAAATAAAAGATGTATAGGTGGCAGCACATTGTTGGCTCAGAACAGAATATTACATACAGATCAAAATGTGTCAAATCACTTTGTTTCAGAGCTTGGAAAATGCATTTTTTAGCAAAAGAATGCATAACCTTAGCAGGTTTTTTCCCCCTGATTCCTGTCACATTTGTCCAGATGGATTTGGTACCTTTTGGAAACAAGCTCCACATTTGTTCAGTTGTGGGAGTGAGGTAGTATTTAATTATAGGATCCAAAATGAGGCTTCCCCTAAATTTTCAAAGGGCTGCATAAAGAGACACAAGTTTTTTAGATTTTTACCATGGTTAGGGAGTGAAAGCCATGAATCTGCTTACCAGAAGTTAGTTTCCCAGGGTTCAGTTCTTTTTCCGAGGAGATTCCTTTTGGTATATATGCAGTAAAGGTAAAGGTTTCCCCTTGACATTAAGTCGCGTTGTGTCCAACTCCTGGGGGTGGTGCTCATCTCAGTTTCTAAGCTGAAGAGCCTGCATTGTCCATAGACACCTCCTAGGTCATGTGGCCAGCATGCCTGGATAGAGCGCTGTTACCTTACTGCCGAAGCGGTACCTATTGATTTCACATTTGCATGTTAAGTTGGCAGAAGCTGGGGCTAACAGTGGGAGCTCACATCTCCCAGCTGTGATTTGATTCCAGGACATCAAAATCTATGGATGCTCAGTTTCCATTACATTCAATGGCATAATGAGATGGTGCCCATTATGTAAAATCAGGAAATCAAAGTTTACTTTTGGGGAATAATATTTTTTGGGTATTCCCAAACCATGGATGGTGGAATCCGTGGGTGCATGATTCATGAGTACAGTAGGGTGGCAAAGTAGTGTGGTGCTGTCTTAGTTTGTATCTCTGCTAGTAGACTGGAATTTGTGAATATGATTCAATTTCAGTTTTCCTCTTTCTGGTTTTCCTTTGCAATTTCCTTGTTCAAAGACGGTCTTACTGCCAATTGTGTGGTCATTTGATGAAATAATACGGAGGTTTCTGATCAGACAAAATTTGCTACCCAAAAAGGAATGTCAGGTTTAAATTTCATTTGTGCTGCCTGTTATAATGATGTCCATTTGGGTTCATCAGCTTTTGGGGAAAGGTATGTGTAAAGAAAATCCAGGTTGTTTTGAACAGATTTATTAAAGCGGTGTTTGTATCTCTGACTGGTTTGTAAATGATTCTACAAGTATTTCAGTTTTGGAGTGGCATATATTTTGATTTAATTACAGATGAATGGTCCAGTAAATTGAGAGAAGGGGATGAGATCGTCAAGAAAGTTCACCAGTGTACAAAAGGTATCGTATGAGTTGCCCTTTACTCCTTCTCATGTATTGATATAGTTATCCTAAAACAAGGCAAAACACTTTAAATGCTGTTGTTATGTGGGGATGGTCTTCTGTGCCTGAAACAGCATTTTCATGTTTCTACACAAGTCTTGATTAAGTTGCTATTTGTAGGTTTATAGTGCCATTGTTCCCTAGTTTGTCCAAAGGTGGGTAGAAATTTGCAAGGTTTAATTGCAATCTGAAGTAGTTATTTATTTATTTTTTATAGCAAAGTCTCTTAGATGTCAAGGTTTATAAACATATCATTCATATGCTGTGTCGCTAAGTAAGCCAAAGATGTGCCCCCCCCCCCCCTCTCTCTATATATATCACAGAATTTAGGATGCCATCATTTTCCTTTTTTGGAAGCCTTAATTTTAGGGGGGAAATTATGGTATGTGTATAGTTTCTTTCCAAAAGATACCAAATCTCAAAACATTGAAAAATGAGCTATAGGTGCCAGTGGCAGCATGTTGTTGGCTAGGAGTAGGATATTATGCATAGATCAAAACTGTCAAGATGTATCAAATCAGTTTGGTACTGGGCTTGGAAAACTGCACTTTATAGCAAAAGAAGGCATATCTTCAGCTCTTTTTCCCAATTCCTGTAAAATTTGTCAGATAGATGGGTACCTTAGAAACAAACTCCATATGCACACGCCACATTTACATAGTCCTGAGTTTTGCTGGAAGGGACATCGTTTAGCACCTGTCATTTCAAAGGCAGCATCATTTAAAAAATAACTTTTTTATTCACCTGCTTAAGTTTGCCACCACAATTGTTCAGGATGAAACCAGATTTGTGACTGGGTCTTGCAGTAACAGTGATCACCTACTTCTCTCTGTTCCCCATAGAGTGTTGTGAGAAAAAAAAGTTAGCCGAGGAAAAACAGCAGAAATTATCCGAAGTCCTTGCTAATATTGAGGAGGAGAAAAAACAAGAGAAAGAGTTGATGGAAAATATTCAAGAACTCAAGAAAGAATTGATCAGTAAAAATAAAAGTAAGTTGCAAGGAGAACTTTGATCATGAAAATGCATTTCAGGAACATTGGGGCATGAAAAATGTGCATAGAATTATTATAGAGTTGGATGAGACCTCGTGGACCATCCAGTCCAATCTCCTGCCAAGAAGCAGAAAAATCCCATTCAAAGCATCCCCGACAGATGGCCATCCAGCCTCTGTTTAAAAGCCTCCAAAGAAGGAGCCTCCACCTCACTTCGGGGCAGAGAGTTCCACTGCTGAACAGCTCTCACCATTAGGAAGTTCTTCCTCATGTTCAGGTGGAATCTCCTTTCGTGTAGTTTGAAGCTATTGTTCCGCGTCCTAGTCTCCAGGGCAGCACAAAACAAAACTGCTCCCTCCTCCATATGACTTTCCCTCACATGGCCGTCATCATGTCTCATCTCAGCCTTCTCTTCTGCAGCTAAATATGCCCAGCTCTTGAAGCCGCTCCTCATAGGGCTTGATCATTTTAGTCACCCTCCATTGGACACATTCCAGCTTGTCAACATCTCCCTTAAACTGTGGTGCCCAGAATTGGACACAGTATTTCAGGTGTGGTCTCACCAAGGCAGAATAGAGGGGTAGCACGACTTCCCTGAATCTAGGCACTATATTCCTATTTATTCAGGCCAAAATTGCATTGACTTTTTTAGCTGCATGACATTGTTGGCTCATGTTTAACTTGCTGTCCACAACGACTCCAAGCTCTTTTTTACAACAAGTACTGCTATGTGCAACCTAGAACCACTCAACATTCCATTTTTTTTCACACTGATTGTGTGGCTACAGTTAAATGTATATCAAGATGTTATATATGATGCAGTTGTACCCCATTTTGCCATTTATACCAATCTGGCAGCTCTTGTACGGGCCCTTTCTCCAAGCTAAATGGAATCAGTTGTACTGGAAGAGGAGTATAACTTTAGGCCGAAGTAGACAAGCTCTGGGGCTATTTTTCCTGCCTCAAGCACCATAACACCCTCTTCTCATGAAACTGGCTCAGGTTCAAAGGTATGGTAAAACATCTTGAGGTCTTGTTTGTTTCAGTTTCAGCTGAAAACAAGGCCACTAAAGAAGTGGAGGAAAGGCTACACAAGGCCGAAAAACTGTTTAAAGAAAGCCTTGGGCTAGAAATACACAGAAGCGCTGGTAAGATAGATTTTCTATAGCAATATCTATCAATTAGCTTTCCACTGATGGCGGACAATTGTTATCCTGGTGCAAAAAGAGCACATTCAAGAAGGTCTGTGTTGCATGTCACTGATACAAAGGGCTGTTTTAGGGCTGTTTCTCTTTAATGACAACGACAAACATGGATCATTTTTCTCTGGATCTGGTTCATCTTTGTCATTTAATAATGGATTTTGTTTGCAGAGCAAACTTTAGATGTATTTACTTTAATTACACAGGCTGGCGTCCTGTTGGGAACACAATATTATGCATATTCTTTTTGGGGCACTGCGAAATTGGTATTCCTTTCTCTCTCTGAAATGTCCAAAGGCCACCTTGGACTTATTGAACAACCTCTAAAGACACCCCATCAGTCATTCCTGGTTTTTTTTTAAAAAAAAAATGGGCAGGATTGTATAAGCATCTGATTACCAAACATGTAATGATGATGTCAGCGCTGAGTTCTGCTGGGTTCCTCTAGAATAGTGGTCCTCAGCTCGTGGTTCCTCCTGTGTTTGGGCCTGCAACACCCAGAAATCCCAGCCAGTTTACCAGCTGTTAGGATTACTGGGAGTTGAAGGCCAAACCATCTGGGCACCCACAGGTTGAAAACCACTGCTCTAGAAATCTCAGAGCTACTGCCATTCTGTCAGAGATTGACGCCCAGCGGAAGGAATGCTAGATCAAACAGACGATTTGCAAATAAGGACTCTGCAAGCTTTGAGTTACAAAAGAAAACTAAGTTTTACTAAGCACACACAGCAAACACATCTTTCTTCAGCGAGCGACATACAGGAAGAGAACTAGTCAAAACCGAAAGACAAAACACTTCTTCACATCTGCTTATCTTCTCTTGCTTGAAGCTGGCAACTCCCTTCAGATTCTAACCAGAACAAAGCTTATCTTACTTTCTCAAGTTCACATAATCACAGCCTCAACTCTAAACATTTCTGCACAGCATTTTCCATTCACAGTGGCATCCATATTTGCAATACATACATAAAACACATACATAACTCAATTTATCCTGACACATTCTGTGGTCCTGCCCCCTCTCCATTACGCCAATTATCCCCCTTGAGTATGTTCAAAGGGTCAGTATATGACTCAACTAACATAAATCCACATGACGACCTATATACACTGCTAAGCAATGTAGATGGTGATCACATTGCATATAAGCATACTATTAGTTTTCATTCTACCTTTTAAAATGTTTTGCCATTTTTCTTGGGTCATCTCATTTGTTTATAGCCTCATAGACCCCTTCTACACTACCATATAAAATCCAAATATCTGCTTTGAACTGGATTATATGGCAGTGTAGACTCATATAATCCAGTTCAAAGCGGATATTGTGGATTTTCTGATGTGATAATCTGGATTATATGGCTGTGTAGAAGGGGCCATAGATAATTTCACGTCCAAAATGAGCATTTTTGTGTGGAGTCATTTATGTATTTTGTCTATCGCCTTTCCCAGCTATGAAATTCAAGGTGATGACATTATTAAAAGACATAATCTCCATTTCTGCCAATGTAGTTCCTGACATTGAAAGTAGCAGTTTAGAGTCACCAAAAGTAATACAGTGTAGGGTTAGATGTTTAGACAGTCCTGCATGACATTGGGTCCAACAAATCCACTTTGAGTTACTCCTCCATTAGATGCTTCTGGTTGAACTAGAGTGCTGCTGTGGCCAACCAAGAGTCCAGCATTGGCAGAGCTACTATGCACTTTGGAGCAGGTGCTGTAGGAGTAGCAATAAAATGCAGAGTAGTTTTGTGGTCCTGGCAGTGATTATTTCCAGCATGGTATGATGCTGAATCATGCTGAATACTCGAGATTTTCTCTAATATCTTAATATCTTAATTGGGTGTCTTAATACAGTCACATTTTTTTCAACTAGAAAATCATCTGCAATTTATATTCCGCTGTATTTCCCACAAAGATGTTGACCAGCCATACGTACTTACTCTTTCCCTTAATGAAGAGGGAGCTTATGAAGGTACGTGTAAACTTCCTAAACAGAATCTCATTTTTAGCCAGGATGGAGAAGCAGTGGCCAGCTGTTTTTGGACTCTTAATTCTTCCCAGCCAGCATGGCCAATGTTCAGGGAAGATGCAAGTTGTAATTCAAGGATATCTAAAGGGCAGATGTTGGCTTATTTTATAGTTTTGAAGAAAACAACTATCAATGGATATTTTTACAATGAGGAAAGCCTTCCAATCCTGGATTACTTTGGAGAGGTTGTGTTTTCCCCCACCACCACCACCCTTAATTTCTTAGACTTTTAAGTTGCTTTTTCTTTATACACGCAGTCCCCAAGTTACAAACAAGATAGGTTCGGTAGGTTTGTTCTTAAGTTGCATTTGTTTGTAAGTCGGAACAGGTCCAGCAAAAGAAAAAGTGCACTTGTCATTTGGTCAAAAAAAGGTGTACGTTATAGTTCCTGCATTATAGTTCCAAACAATGGAAAGAAAACCATAGAAATAGATAACCCTTCCTTCAAGGAGTCTCTCTTATTTCTCAGCTTTTTGGGGGTGTATTTATGCTGTGGAATGAATTCAGTTTGACACCACTTTAACTGCCGTGGTTCATTGCCATAGGATTCTGGGAGCTGTAGTTTTCCAAGAATGCTGCTGCCTCACCAAACTGCAAATCCCAGCATTGCATAGTATTGAGCCGGGGCAATTAAAAGTGGTGTCAGACATGAAGGAAGGAAGAGGTGGAGAGATACAGGGAGGATGAAGGGGATATCGATAGGAAGGAAAAATTGTTTGGAGAGATCAATAGGAAAAAAAGGGAAAAGGGGGTTGGAGAGACATTGATAGGCAGAACAAGGAAAGGGAGGTGGAGAAATACAGACACTTAGGCTCACTGCTGAGATTTCATGGTAGGGAAAGAGGGGAGAAGCCTGTTGGTGACTATGAGTTTGTAACTTAGGGACTGCTTGTAGTTTGTTGTATTGCTTCCTTATGCACGAGTCACTTGTATCTTCTACTTCAAGAACTACCCAGTTCAAGTTGGACCTCTAATGTTTTTGTCCAAAATTGTAATTACTAATATTGAGATTTAGGACTGCTGCTCCTAGAAATAATGATGTCAAGAAGTAATTCTTCAGGTCTGATTGTGCAGGAAAGTAAAGTTATTAATACCAACCAGGTATTATAAAAAGGAAAATACAACCCACCCATTGCAAAATGATTTTAGGATTGATATGTCATCAAGTAAGTAAAAAATTGTCACATCAAGAATAGTAATTTTCAGTTTAGAAATGATTTTTAATCTCTTCTTTTTTTTTGTAGTGATCTCTTGTTTTCCTCCCCTGGACTGTATCAAAGAGCTGCAGGACAAAGTACGAGAAACCAACAATTTTTCTGCATTTATTGCTAATGTTAGGAAAGCCTTTGTTGCCTTGAATTATACATGATATGTTCCTTTATTTGTAAACCTGTATGTATCCTTATTTTTGTCATATGTCATATTTAGAAAATGTTTGAATAGTTAGTGATTTGATCTTCAAAACAGAAGAGACTGAACAAAGGCTGCATACAACCTGCAAGAATCAATCCTGCTTCCTGTACATTTCATAGTTAAAAGAAAGAAGTTGTATTTGTGGATATGAGATTCTGCTTCTTCTGGTAGTATAAATGTGTAGAGTGTCTGTATCTGCAAAAGGCACTTCTCCCCTAGTTCTTACGTTTTATAGTCTAGCTGCATATGAAACCTGACCGTGGCAATCAGAATGTGAAGGTGGATTACAGTAATTGTTTTCTTATCCTTTCAATAACAAGCAAATAATAATTTTGACCAGTATATATTAATGCCTCTGATAATCAGCTTAGAAATCAGGAAAATAATTATTAAAGGAATTAGCAGAAGTAATTTCAGAACCACTGGCAATAATCTTTGAGAACGGGAGAAGTCCCTGCAGACTGTAGGAAGGCAAATGTTGCCCCTGTCTTCAAGAAGGTAAAAAAAGACAGCCCAAACAATTACCATCCAGTCAGCCTCACATCAATACCAGGAAAGATTTTGGAACAGATCGTTAAGGAGGCAGTCTTCAATCACTTAGAAAGGAATGCTGTGATAACTAAAATATGGATTTCTCAAAAACATGTCATGCCATACTAATCTTATCTCTTTGTTCTATAGAGTTACAAGCTTGGTAGATGCAGGGAATACTGTGGATGTAGCCTATCTTGATTTCAGTAAGGCCTTCAATGAGGTCCCCCATGACCTCACAAACTAGTCAAATGTGGGCTAGGCAATGGTACTACTAATTGGATATGTAATTGGTGAAGCAACTTAACCCACAGGATGCTCACCAATGGTTCTACTTCATCTTGGAAAGAAGTGACTAGTAAGTTCGGTCCAGTACTGTTCAATTTCTATATTAATGACTTGGATGAAGGTTTAGATGGTGTGTTTATCAAGCTTGCAGATGACACCAAATTAGGGATAGCTAATACTTCAGAGGACAGGCTCAGAATTCAAAATGACTACAACAGATTAGAGAGCTGGGCCAAAACTAACAAAATGAGTTTCAACAAGGAGAAGGGTAGGATAGGACACTTAGGCAGATAAAACTATATGCAAAGATACAGATGGGTGACACCTGTCTCGACAACAGTCCATGTGAAAAAGATCTTGGAGTCTTAATGGACAACAAGTTGAACATGAGCCAACAGTGTGATTCAGCAGCTAAAAAGTCAGTGGGATGTCGGGCTGCATCAAAAGGAGTCTAGTGTCAAGGTGCCCCTCTATTTTGCTTTGGTTAGACCTCACCTGGAATACTGTGCCCAGTTCTGGGCATCACAGTTCAAAAGGAATATTGATAAGCTGGAAGGTGTCCAGAGGAGGGCGACTACAACTATCAAAGGTCTGGAGACCATGCCCTATAAGGAGCATCTTAAAGAGTTGGGTATGTTTAGCCTGCAGAAGAGAAGGTTGAAAGGAGACATGATAGCCATGTATAAATATGTGAAAGGGTGTCAAGGAGGACTCAGAGCAATGGATTCAAATTATAAGAAAGGAGATTCCACCTAAACATTAGGAAGAACTTCCGGACTGTGAGAGCTATTCAACAGTGGAGCTCTGTCTAAGAGTATGGTGGAAGCTCATTCCTTGGAGGCTTTTACAGAGGCTGGATGGCCACCTCTCCAGGATGCTTTGATTGTGCTTTTCCTGCATGGCACTGCGTTGGGCTGGATGGCTCATTCTCTTTACAAACTTGATTCTAAATGAGAAATCAAATTCTTATTCTCTTAACATAGCAGTTTTATTTGTCTACTCTGAAGTCACTCCTATTATGTTCAGTAAGGTTTACTCCAAGATAAGTGCATATAGGATTATAGCTAAAGTACTGGCATCGATGCTTTAAAAAAAGACCAAAATACATGTCATTTGATAGTCATTTTTAATCTTCATGATACTACAATAATTCATCAAAGGAAGGTTATTTTTATGCCTAATCGTTTGAAGTTTCCTATACATACAATACAGGAAGCTATTGGCAACACTTGATTTTAGATCCAGATATAGGAAGGGTAGATATTTACAAAAAAACTGAACCAGTGCTCTGTCAAGTTGAATAAACCATATTATAAGATGAACTTGTGATCCATTCCAGATGTGGAGACCCCACCATCTCAGCTTGAAAAGCTTTCCTCATCTCCATTGAGGCCCATGCCAGAGGAAGGAGGTTCTTCTTCCACATAAGTACCTGGGAAGATGCCTCTTTTCCCTTTGACAGATCCGTACCACCATCCGTCTTCTTCCTTGTGGTGGATTACAATCACATCACCTAACAGAGTAATATACACATAGATATGTAAGTCTCCTTGGTCATGGCACCACTTGTCTGTGCCTAATCCTTTACACAGATATCTGACTTGGGTTATATGGAGAACCCTCTCTCTTCAGGTACATCTTATTTTATGTGTCTGCTTAAGTCTAAGATAAAGTAACCAAACTCCTAGTATTGGTAGCTGGGTTGGAGAACTTGAAGTAGAATAGTATGGTGAGAAATGACAGTCAAGGGGTTGGTTTTCATTTTATTTATTTATTTATTTATTTATTTATTTATTTATTTGATGCATTTATTAACCGCCATTCTCAGCCCTTTAGGGCGACTCATGGCGGTGTACACGCATATAAAAGACAATTTACAAAAAGGCAATTACAACAACATATCAACTACATAACAATTACAAAAACTACACTAAAAATCCGCTTCGTCTCATAGTGGAATCATAAGCCAATCTCATATTCCTTATTCCATTCCAATCATCTTTACCACATTGTTATAACACTTAATTAAATGCCTTCTCGAACAGCCATGTCTTAAGGCTTTTTCGGAACATCTTTCTCATGTATAAGTCAAGGGAAAGTTTTGGGGGCAAAATTATGGATTTTTATATGAACCATGGATAAGTTGAAGTCATTCTGGGAAAGGGGAAGCACCAACACTGCCTTGGGACCAATTGCCCTGGCTACTATTTCTCTTAGACATCTTTTAAAAAGCCAGAAGTGCTACTATGGCAGAGAGAGTAGAAGTGATCTGTACTTTTAGGTTCTCCAGGGATGGACTCCGTTCTTGACTTTCACCACTTTACTCATAGAAGGTTTCCTTTTGTATCAGTGTTAAAGTAGAGTGGATAAGTCAATCCAGGGTTTTTTGGGTTGGGTTTTGACTAAAATTTCTAGACCTATATATCAGTATATATGGTAATTTGGGATAAAAAGTCAAACTTTGCCCATGCCTTATAGTTGAGTTTTAGGCACTTACATTCTGTTGTAACGTTTCCTAGAACTACTTTTAGAATTTTTAAAAGGTTACACATTTGTTTTACTAATTAAAAGTTGTCTTAAAATTGCCATGGTTTTTGCTATACTATTAGGATTACATCAAATCTACTTTTAAAAAAAAATCCATATTTCCCCTCCCCCTTTTGGTTTGTGTTTTAATTTGATATTCCTCTAACCCAGAGGTCCTCAAACTTTTTAAACAGGGCCAGGTCACAGTCTCTCAAACTGTCGGAGGGCCGGACTATAATTTGAATAAATTCCTATGCACACTGCACATATCTTATTTGTAGTGCAAAAAAAAAAAAACCACTTAAAAACAATACAATAATTAAAATGAACAATTTTAACAAATATAAACTTATTACTATTTCAATCTTATTTGTAGTGCAAAAAAAACCCACTTAAAAACTATACAATAATTAAAATGAACAATTTTAACAAATATAAACTTATTACTATTTCAATGGGAAGTGTGGACCTGCTTTTGGCTGATGAGATAGGATTGTTGTTGTGGTTGTTGTGTGCTTTCAAGTTGTTTAAGACTTAGGCTGACCCTGAGCGAGGGCCGGGTAAATGACCTTGGAGGGCCATGTTCGGCTCTCGGGCCATAGTTTGAGGCCCTCGGGCCATAGTTTGAGGCCCTCGGGCCGTAGTTTGCTCTAACCTATGGCTTTTTAGTATTAGGATTTTTAAAAACACTTTTTTTTTTTTACATTTGACAGGTTATTATTACACACAGGCCACCGGATCTTTTCTGTGCTAGTCCCTCCTAATAAACATAGTTGCAACTGAATCATATCCTTGTCTATCCTATGCCAGGGTTAGTTGAGAAGGATGATTCTTATAATACAACATCCTTGTTTGCAACTTTAAAATGTACTTTTCGGGAAGGTTCATATGTTAATTATTCTAAAATCCAAATGACACACAAGCCTATATCGCTACTTTTATATACTCACAGAGAGTAGGATTGGCAGGTTTTCAAAATATCAATAAGGGACAGTCAAATGCCATGAGATGCAGGGCTGACAATTTTCTGTATTTAGAAAAATCCTTACTTGGCTTCTCTTTAGGTCTGCATCAACAGTCATGAATCATCTCATAATTATTCATATTGGCAGGGAGCTCCTGGAACATGGCCTCATATTATCTCTAAACGTCCACATACCCAAATATTGGATTTTTGGATTCTGCTTTAGTCTAAATACAAGGACAATTTCTGTAGTGCTCATGTGAAGGACTTCCTTTATAATAAAGGACATCCAGTAACTGTAATTTTGGAAGCGTTTCCCTTCAGTATTTAAGGAGGGGGAACCCTGGACAGATGTCTTGAAGAGTGCTTCTAGGAGAATGCTTACATCCCTTAATGTTGACTGGTGTAAGTAGTTCTGAAATTTATACCCTCTAACTGGGAAATTCAGTTGACCCGGATACAGTATCCTAGGCATGGTTATTAGATTGGAAATTTTACTTTTTGGGGATCACAACCCTCAGAGTCCCATAACCAGCATTACCCAAGATAAATGATACCTTTATTCAAACTCCCTCCTGGGCACACAAGGCGGCAACTTGGAAGGCACTGAACAGACTGTGTTCTGGCATCATGAGACGTAGAGCCAATTTTAAGAAATGGGGCTACAAAATGGAGTCTGTGACATGCAGGTGTGGAGAAGAGCAACCCACACACCACTAACTACAATGCAGCCTGAGCCCTGCCACATGCACAATGGAGGACCTTCTCACAACCGTACCAGAGGCAGTCCCAAGTGGCTAGCTTCTTGTCAAAATCAAGCACAATGCCAAGTTTTTAACTTGGTTTGTGGCTTTTTATACATTATAACTGTATTCTCAATTTGCTTCTGACACGATAAATACCTTTATGCAAGCAAAGTTCGTCTTCCCTTTCTGTGCAGTAATCGTACAAAGCAGTACAAGTTCCACATATTGAATCACCATTCTGTGGGTGCAAAGAGGTTGCTGGCATTGAATTGCTGGAAGGAGCTGGAAGGTAGAACAATGGAGTTACACGACTTATAGCAGGAAATAATAACAGTCTCTGCATTTACTGGCAGCAT